ACTCGGGAGAGTGCGGTGCTGATAACACCAAGGCCACGGGTTTGGATCCCTATATAGGGATGGCCGATTAGCTCACTGGGTGAGCGTGGTGCTGACAACACCAAGCCAAGGGTTAAGATCCCCTTACCGGTCATCTTTTTGAAAAAAAAAAAAAAAATTTATAAGTTTAATAAACACAGTATTAAACACAAGCAGCAGTAGGTGGCTTTTCTCTGAACAAAGCCCCTCTCCAATATTAAAAATTCTCAACTGACAACACCCTGTGCTCCAGCCACACTGGAAGATTCAGCATTCCACAGACTTCCATGCCTTTCTTTTTGTGAATCTGTTACAGGCACACTCAGCTCCTGGCTGAGGCTCCCCAAAACTGTCATTGAACTCACAGGTCCAGCCGTCTGCCCCCAGATAAAAGCAAACCAATCAAAAGTCAAATGTTGATGAAAATGGAAGTCAGCTTTTTTCAGGAATACCTGTGACCCAAGGAGAGATGTCAGGCTCACTCATCTCTCCAGTAAACCTGAAGGAGAATGACCAGATTAAAGCCATATCAAAGACTCAGATTTACTGAGGTTCGCTCACTGGCTGAGCGTGGTGCTGACAACACCAAGTCAAGGGTTAAAGATGACCAGTAAGGGGATCTCAACCCTTGGCTTGGTGTTGTCAGCACCACGCTCACCCAGTGAGCTAATCGGCCATCCCTATATAGGGATCCAAACCCGTGGCCTTGGTGTTATCAGCACCGCACTCTCCCGAGTGAGCCACGGGCCAGCCCCTACTGAGGGGTTTTTAAAGAGGAGGATGAGGGGCCGGCCCGGTGGTGCACTGCTACAGTGCACCGCTTGGGAGTGCGGTGGTGCTCCCGCCGAGGGTTTGGATCCCACATACAGACCGGTTCCCGCTCACTGGCTGAGCGAGGGGCGGGCGCAGCACCGAGGTTGCGATCCCGTTGCCGGTCCGGTCCGGTACGGGCACGACACTGAGGGTTGCGATCCGTTGCCGGACACAAAAGACAAAAAGGAAAAAATAAATAAATAAATAAATAAAAATAAAGAGGAGGATGAGGGAAAAGAATGTGGGAAATGAAAAGCAGGAGAACACGTGAGCTATGAGGGGTCCGTGTCTCTGAGTCAGGTACAAGGTCTCGCCAAGGCCTCACCTGGTTTCTGCTCTAATCTTTGCTGTTACCTCAGAGCCTGCAAGATTTTGATTTGCTCCAGAGCAGAATCAACTCCTTTGCAGTCTTTTGAGTATTCCCTTTCGTAAAGCTCCGGTTGACTTGGCTGGTGCCCAAGGTCAAGCTTCCAGTCATTTGGCCTTGATCACTTCTCAAAACTCCACAAGTCTCAAAGAAACAACTGTTAGCTTTGCAAAGTAATGATTAACTTCTCAGCCCTGTTTTCGTATTTAGCAAGCAAGATAAGAAAGTCAGGGGGTGGGAAGAAAGACTAGAGAGAAAAAAACTCATTTTAAAAATTCCCCTGCCCCTCACTGCAGCCCAGGCAGTTTTAGGTCCCAACATGGCTTCAGTCCTGCTCACTCCAACAAGTCCCTCTGCCTGGAATGCCTTCGACACACACACACCTTTAGTACCTGGCAAAATTTCACTTTTTCCAGAAGGTCCAGCTCAAATTCTGTGAAGACATCCTCCCTCGCTAGTCAGAATCACGTTTCCCTGCCCAGGCCTTTGTTAGACTGGACCACAGAGGGCTATTAGATGGGACCTTTGTTATCCTGGCTGCCATGTAAGGACAGAGCTGAATCCCAGAAAAAGGAACAGAAAGGCTGGTACACAGCGGGCATCCAGCTGGAGGAGATACCCAGGGTGTCCAGGGTGCTTCAGCCTATGTGACATGCATTTCAGCCTGTGTGTGGAAGGTAGCCCCTTGGCTGGGAACCGAGACTTCCTACGGCTGGGACCCCTGACTCTTCCCATATCCTCTTCCCCAGACCTTGCTGAAGGATGTAGTGAGCAGAATAACGGCCCTCCGAAGGTGGCAGCGTCCTCCAAAGATGGCAACATCCTAAGCCCTGGAGCCTGTAAATATGTTACATTACATGGCATAGAGGAATTAAGGTTGCAAATCAGCTGACCTTAAATACAGAGATTATCATGGATTACCCAGTTGGGCCCAATGTAATCACAAGGGTCCTTGAAAATGGAAGAGGGAGACAGAAAGTAAATTAGAAGGAAATGCCCTAGAAGAATTCTCAGAGGGATGCAACGTTGCTGGCTTTGAAGACAGAGGAAGGGGCCAGAAGCCAAGGAAAGTGGGTGGTCTCTGGAAGCTGAAAAAGGCAAGGAAACAGATTTCCCCCTAGAGTTTCCAGAAAGGAACAGAGCCCTAATGACACCTTAATTTTAATCCAGTGACACCCATGTCAGACTTCTGTCCTACAGAACTTTAAGGCAACTAATTTGTGTTGTTTAAGCTGCTAACTTTGTGGTAATTTGTTACAGCAGCAACAGAGAGCCAATATACAGAGTCACCTACATGCTTCATGTCATGAATCAGTGACATCTGCATAACCACTTTCCAGACCACAGATAGGAACCAAACACACCTGAACCTAAGTCGGGGCTCTCACCTTCAGGTGCTGTACTGACTTTGGGCCAGGATACTGACTTTGGGCCAGGATGCTGCTCTGGAGCTGTTGGGAGTCAGAAATACACGAGTTAATGCAGGTAGACTGAACAGATGCAGAGCACTTAGTTGGGCGGCTGGTTCCCAGTGCCCTGCAGATGTCCTGGTTGCAACAGTATGTCCCTTCCTGCACTGCCGAGTCACTGGAGAAGCCACACAGGTGAAGTGATCTCGGACCTGAGTCCTGCACCGTCGCTCACTGACCTTTTCAGGAGGATGCATGCCTTGATGGTGGTCCTGGAGTGTTGTGGGCATTGGCCCTTCCCTCTGGGTCCCTGGCTTCTCATCTCCCCCTTTGCCCTCACTCCCTGGGCTGATCACTGCCTACCCCGCTCCCGGCGGGTCTGTGCTACCCGTCCTCTCTGGAGCTGATTTAATGCCTGAGGTGCAAGGCTGGTCCTATGGCCCTCACCACGATGGTGCCATCTGCATTCAAGCATAGTCAGCGATCCTCCTACAGCCGTCCGGGGCTATTGCCACAGGGAGCTGGAGACCTGGAGCACAGGGGCAGGTTTGCAACCAGCCAGACCTGAGTGCTGCCTTATTCCTAATTTATAGCTTTAGAAGCTCAAGTCCCAAGGGGCCAGTGTACCCCGGGGTTGCAAAGCTAGTACTGGAAACTTCTCTAGAATCCTGGCTCGTTCCTCCCATGTATTAAAATATATTCATTATATTTATCAAGTAATATTAATAGCACAGAAAAATAAATAAATATGTATATTAAAAAGTCTGTCTTCACAGCCTTTGGAAAAACTTAGAGCAGGGCCGGCCCGATGGCGCACTGCTACAGTGCGTTGCTTGGGAGCGTGGTGGCGCTCCCGCCGAGGGTTCGGATCCCACATACAGACCGGTTCCCGCTCACTGGCTGAGCGAGGGGCGGGAGCAACACCGAGGGTTGTGATCCCGTTGCCGGTCCCGGTCCAGTAGGGGCGCGACACTGAGGGTTGCAGTCCGTTGCCGGACACGGAAAAAAAAAAAAAAAAAAAAAAAAAAAAAAAAAAACTTAGAGCAAATATAATGAAAAAAATCACCCCAATTCTTCCACCCAGGAACGCCACTTGGAATCCAGGTTTCCGGCCTTCAATTCCCATTCTTTTCACTCTTGCCTCCCTGGCTGCCCCAGATTCGGTTCCAGCCGCACCCCGCCCCCGGGGCCATTTAAGAGACAGCGGCTCAGCCACCGGGGACAAGTTGCGGAACCAGACGTACTCGTTCTCTGCACCTGTCACCTCCCCGCGGTCGGGGGAACCGGGCGCGCGGTGGGGTGTGCGGGCGGCGCCCGGTTGACCGGGGCGGGACGAGCCCGGGCCCCCGGAGCTGCAAAACACTCAGCACCGCGGGAGCCGCGCCCGCCTCTCCCCGTTGGC